GAAAAGATTATTAAAAATCAAGCCTGACTCAGCATAATTGCTGTTTTACAGCAGGTTCCTGTTCTGCAGCACATAAAATTCTCAGAATTACAGCATCACAATCACATCATTATACACCATAGACACAAAGACAAACAAGCATACCAAATTTCAAAAAGGCAGCATTTACAAAATAGGACGTCTAAATATGAGCACAACAAAAAGTGTCCAGCAGATGGCAGACAAGATTCTTCTTRAAGGGCTGTAGTTTTGAAATGGACTTTATGTTTTGAGGAATGTCATTCCATGCTTTAGTATAAACATAGAAGAAAGACCTCTGGCCGTAACAGTTTTTAAAAGTTGGTAATATCAGTTGTCCTTTTGTAACAGATTTAGTTGAATGACCACTTCCAGAATTTGATTTGGGCARCAATGCACAGAGAGTTCCATAATTGGCACCTTGGAAGATCTGAAATTATAAATTAATACCACTATACAAAACATAATTCTGAAAAGTCAAGGCATCAGACAATGAAAGAACTGTACAGTGATGAGTCCAACCAGGAAGTTTTTTATGAATTTTCTAGTCCCTGTTGTAGAGCCTAACTATGGGTTCTAAGATTTCATTTGTTGTAAGAGACCAAACAGGTAAACAGTACGACATGGTTGAGAGTATAATGGCATGAAGATAGATATTTGAAACAGAAGATGTCAGATTGGATCTAATTTTTGAATAAACGTTTAATTTCTGTTTCAACTTGGTGGTTAAGACTTGTACATGATCACGATAAATCAAACGAGAATCCAAAGTAATTCCAAGATATTTGTAGGYAGTGACAATATCAAGGGGTTTGTTTAAAAAAGTGAGTTGATTTGTTATATTGAAATGTCTCCTGGGTGAGGAAAAATATATGCACACAGTTTTTTTAACATTAATTGACAAAAGATTATCTTGAAGCCAACMATGAAATGTCTGAAGATCTGCTTGTAACTGACTATTAATAGATTCAATATTGAAAKCAGACAAAAAAAGAACAGTATCATCAGCATACATTAAAAAAACTTCAATACTTTTGGAAGGTCATTTATGTTTGATAAGAAAAGCAATGGGCCCAGATTAAAATGGGTTTTTTTTTTGTAGCCATGATTTAGATAATATCTTAATAACTAAAACAGCTTGTTCCAATAATGTTATAATTCAGACTTGTGATTTATTAGAATTTAAAATAAACATTACTTGAGCCAACATGATGAAACTGCTGTTGTAAACTGTTACATAAATGCAGGGGAGGCCTATTCAGAAATGCCACCAACATATTCCTTTGTCTTCAAATAATAGAAAGCCATGGAGGTCTAAATGGGGATTTTTTTAGCCTAAGTTATTACTCATTTATGCACAAAGTTGCTGCAGTACAAATCAAAACAACACTTTAATACTGCAGAAGCAACTGAAACAGAAAATTGGTTTTTTGATGATCGGTTGATTTTCCCACAGGTGAGAAACACTTCAGACAGACATTTAATGTGAGCCGTAATTCCCAGCCTACTCTATTCAGTTTGTGTTTTTCATATATGTTTTATGTGCATTTTAAAAAAATCCAGTTCCTCCTCTTCTCATTTCCCATGGGTGTAGTCAGCCCACCCACAACAAAATTTGTAAATTTGTTCATTTCCAGGTTTAAGCATTCGGCAAAAAGTCACCGTAAGAGCAAGCTAATGGGCTCATGTTGTCTTTTTCCATCTTAAAAATCATCTGCATACAGTCCTTTTTTTWACCCTGAAGGTAAATTATTAACATAATCTGCAGATTATGCAGATACAAAAGGTTAAATAAATAACAATGTATATTAAACTGCCTGCAGGAGGCAACCCTCCTAAGTGATTAAAGAAAATTATCTTGGAAAATTACTTTATTCATTGCTTTAAATACATGTTAATAAAAAGTTTATGGAACCCAGCTGATGGTTTTGAGTTTTCCTCCATGCAGCAAGTATATTAAATTATAGTGTAATTTCGAGTAAGATTAAGCATTATGTAAAGTGTGTTTGAGCTGAGTTGTCTTGTGTATTATAAACACTAATGAGAAGACTTTATGTACTCTACATGTACTGCAGAAAAGGAGTAAGCCAAAATTCATTCAAGTACTTTTCCATCTGCTTATTAGAAATATGCAAAATAAAYATTTCATACCCCCTAACATATCCGTGAATGTGACACAATCATGATAGACCAAAAATAAAACATCATGCAAATTTTGATTGAAAAAATTTCCCTTCTTTTGTTTTAAAACGCTACGCCTGCAGGATACCAATCAACAAAAATGGCTGCTTTTTCTGAACAGAATCAAAATTAAACTCTGTGGAACAAAGACTCCTAAAGTCAGAGAAAACTATTTTATTTCTGAAATAGTTTTTTCTTTTTTTTTACAAACGAATCATGAAAAGTAAGCATTGGAAACTGTAGCGTTACATTAGTCTTTCTTAACATTGTGTGTTTTTTGCCTTTTTGCAAGCTATGATACTGAAACAATAGTTTGACTGAAAGAGAGCGTGAAAGGTAAAAAGACAAAAAACAGGTTTGGAGGAGTAAAAAGAAAAATACAAAGCACAATGAGGGGGAAAGGGGGTCAAACCAGGAAAAAAAAAGAATCCGGCAGATAGAACGAAAAGGAATAAATGAAAGATGAAGTGTGGAAAATGGGGAACGGGGTGCTGATGTGCTTCTTAAGCAGGTCATTTGATGCAGTGTGCCTTTAGAGGGTTTCTTTAAGCATGACTAACAGATTTCCTGAGTCCCGGCAAGTGTCATTCCTCTAAGCTATGGTGCAGAAAGCCACTGTCATCTAAAAAGACAAGACAAGGCGGCGAAAAGAACACTGCCATTAAACTTCTCGGTTATCTTCTGTCACAGGAGTGGGAAGAAAACTTTACTGGAACACAAAAAACTTGTACTTCCTTTGTGTTTCTAAACTCCTTTTCTCATGCTTAAGCTAAAGCAGCACTGTAAACTATGATTGGAAAAGACCATCAACCTCATCAACATCACTATCTCAGCAGTTATCAAAGTGCCCCACTGAAGCTGTTGAATCAATATATTTTCCATCATGTCAGCTCGGGGGCTGCTGAGTCTATTTTTTGCCTCTGATGTGGGGTGTGAAAGCCTAGTTTTCAGCATACTGGTGAGCACAGTCTCTTGATCCTCGTCATCCTCTTATTCAGCACCGAAGGGCACGGAGCTCTGTAATCCAACCCAGAAGCCCCTGGCAGAGTTTATGGTTGCCTCCAAGAGCCCCGCTGTTCTCAGTTCCCCCCCTGCCATGGCCAGCACTGCCTCGTACTTCACATAAAAATATACACACTGCCTCACACTCAAACAAAAACCCTTCAGAGTGTTGTTGAATGCCTCATTACACACTCAATAAGACACACACAACTAAGGGAGCAGCACAAAGATCCAGTTCAGACGGGGCAGCGTGTCGACTTTTTACATCATTTTATTGTAGTTAGGGGGAACAGAACATCAGACAATAAGAAGACAGTGGATCAGAGTTTTCTTAAAAACACTGTAGTGTTTAATGCATGTGGGGCAAGTTGTGGCTTCTTTGCAGTGAAGAGTCACCAGCACAGCATCCTGTAATATACATACTAGGGGTGTCACTATACCAGTTTTTCTCAAACTGAAAACGAGTGCAAGTATTTCAGTTTAGGTACTCACCAATACCGAATATCAATATCAGCAGGGATGGTCCATGGTCTAGGCAGTATAGACAAACGCTAAGGGTGCCGCTCATCCAGGGGATGATTACAAAAATAAMTGTTTTATAACTTTGTATCAGAATATAGTTGATTTAGTCTGTAGAATTGTCACTGGTTACTCATGTTTATGAAAATTACATTTTCTGTGGGTTTCTCAGCCTGCTTTGTTACTACATGATGTGTTTATTGTCAAGTTTTTTAAGTGGACAACCTGGTTTCTTAAGATAAACAAATAATATCAAAGGCAAAACTCAATCTGGAATGTGAATGTACATACGTAAACTGGCAGTGAGATTTCAAAAGCTGCACAAGGAGGAACCACCTGAAATCTTGCCTAGGGTGCCAAATTGGTTAGGGCCATCCCTGGATACCAAGTACCAATACTGAGTACTTGCTGAGTTAGAACTTAAACATTACGATGACTTAAAAAACACATCAGGTGGCTCTCCTTTCTTATCCTTATAGCCCTTCTCTGCCTGTATCAAAACAAATGTACAGCATGCTATATACTGTTATAACATTTGTTACATTTCAAATAAATAAAAGTAACAAATAAGACTTTTTTAACTTGTATAAATGTTTTCAACATGGAACACATAAACRTTTCGCTYGAAATGTAAACTGCAACACATTCAGTGGAGTACTGATACTAATACTGGTATCGGTTCTAAGTGTCAGGGCATTTTGAACCAGAAAAGGACATAAAAATCCTGGTAAAAAAAAATAGATTCTGGGACACCAGCCCATACATGCATGGTATGTAATGACACATGTATGCTCCTCTTTATTCTAATTCTTCATTGGAATACCCTGATCCAAGTTTAAGTACATCAACATCCCAACAAGTATTATTGGTAAAACACATTGGTATATATCATGCACCACTGCATCTGAAAGTATTAAGATGTAATATTTGGGGCCTACACGCTTTTAATCTCCAGATTACATAGAAGTTAAACAGCACAATGTATCTCACATTGACTTAAATCCACTCTTCATGCCAGATCGCCTCCCTAATGACAGCAACTATATAGAGGAAGCTCCCAGTCATGTTCAATTACACATTCCCATCTAAGCACACAAGTCTATTCTTGGGCTGTAATGTACAATACAGACGGCAGCGGGAGGAAGACTCATTCCTCTTCGCCTCGTCTCTGCTGCRATGTGTATGGTGAGTATTCATTATCTTAAATCAAATTGCTCTATTTGTTTGGTTGGCATAATGAATCATCGGAGGGTAGACACAGCAAATAAAGGGACACTCACACTAATGGTTTCTCCAGTCGACTGGCAGGCGAGCCCACAATCTCTCCCAGTGTACAAAAGACCTGTCCCAGGAAGTCCTGCCATGGTGGAGGGGGGTTATAATGTGTGACAGAGAGAGATGTAGTGGGACGGGGGAATGCGGGGGGGAGGGTCACAAGGAGAGCCGGTGAGGAGTTCAGCATCATTATACGCCTTGTACAGTTATATAATATGACGTCTGCGGCAGACACGTACGTTAAAGTCGTTGGGCTTCCAGGGTGGAGAAGGAGGAAGAGGAAGAGAGAGAAAGACCAGGCAGCAGCAGTGACACAACAGAGCATATCATGGCACAAAAGACACACAACTCAAAAACCAGACTGCCATCACAGCACGAGAAAGAAGAGCAACAATGGATGTGTGACGAAGCAGAGAGGCAGAGAATGAACTGCAGATTCTCAGAGGAGAATAGGAAAGTAAAGAAAGCGAATGAGAAGGAAAGTGATCAGTGCAGTTATCCAGAGCATGGTACACAATGCAAACACACGACCACAAGATATTTGGTGACATAAATGTTGGTAGTATGCAAACCAAGTCTTTCAAATATATTGTTTGATGTTAGTATTGCAKTTTCTTTATTAAAACTCTGTGCATAAAATCAGGAACCACACTCATAAATAAATCTTTGTCCTCTTAGGATAAAGATTGCATTTAAAATAAATCATTATTATGAAAAGTTGTATTTTCTGTTGAAAATCAACATGTAACACTACAAAGCAAACAAACAAATGTACTGAACAGCTTTGATAATGATGTGCGATGCTTCATTTCTAAGCTTGTGGGGAAAAATAAGGTTAATAAGGGTAGAACTCGATGCAAATGAAGCTAATTTTCGTTGCTTTGGGAGACTGAAGTTACTCATCTTAAAGAGAGATGAATATAAAGAGAAAATAAACAACATTTTGTCAGATGAAGCACATTTCACTCATTATCTCAAAATATATTTGAGAGTTTGGATGCTGCAAACTTTGGTTTGCATAGAACCTAAATATGTGAGACATGCGCTGTAAATTAAAAGTCAGAGAGTAAAGTTGAGCTCCTCTTCCACCACACACACAAAAAAAATAAATAAGTTCTTCACTTACGTGTTTTGCCAGGTCTGGACTTTTAGAATCAATATCATACCTGGAAGTGTAAAGAAACCACTAAARGTTAAGGTGTGGGCAACACAGCACAAGATGGTTCAGGTATATTATCTAAAAGATTACTGCCTGCTAATAACACACTGAGTCCCCACAGGGTGCTAATGGGAGCAACCGAAAAAAATGAATGAATGGACTGTAATCCCATATTTATCAAGTGTATCCTACTGCAGTTTATTAGAGTAAATTGTGTTTTGTGCCAAGGGGGATATTGTGAAACAACCCATCATTGCAGAAAAAAAAGTTTTGAGCATCTGCTAGTCAAACTTTATGTAAAAGTAATTAAACCTGAGCACACCCGAGCTCCCACCTCTGCGATAAAACAGAGATGTAAATTAGTAACACTAATTGTAAGAGGATTCATTCTCTCTCTCTCTCTCTCTCTCTCTCTCTCTCTCTCTCTCTCTCTCTCTCTCTCTCTCTCTTCTCCTTCCAGAGCTTCTAACAATTTAATGGATTCCTCT